GGTCTACTATATAAGGAGGTACGTGCCTTATGAGAAAGCCAGACCTTATATAAGACAGAGAGAGAGAGGTTTCCTTGGTGTGTGTTACTGCTTGGTGTCGAAGCAGTGTCTGAAGTAGTTTCCGATGGAGTCCGATGTGGACTTAGTTTGGTGGTGTGCGTGGTGACGTTTGGTATGGTGGAGTTAGCCATCGTGTGTAGCTCATGGTGAGTTGTGTGTGTGCTTGGGTGATCAAGCGTTTTGGTGTCACTGGTGTGTGTTGGGTGCTGACGTATTGGTGAAGTACTTCTGAGAGATGGAAGATTGAAGCCTAGACTCAGGGGGAGTTTAGCAAAGGCGGTTTTATTGAAGAGGTCCGTGAAGATTGTAGCTGTAGAAGACAGTGTGCTCTGGCGTGCCCAGATGGTGTTGTATGCATGCGTGCTGATACCTAATCTTTGTAGATTGCTTCTTTGAAAAGAGTGGTAAACACAAGTGTGTGTGTGTTGTACCATATAGGAATTGTAGGTTTCTCCTTATTCTAAGTCAATAAAATCTGGACTGGATCCCGGGGATGTAGGAAATGAACCCCATTAATAAATTTGAAGTGTCTTACTTTCTGCACTTAGTTTTTCGTCGCCTCATCTACATCAACAGTAAACACCTCCTCTATGTCTCTTTGGTTTAGAATTCGGTTGAGAATAAGGTGCAAAAGATTTTGAAAACGGTTTAGGATAAGGTGAAATATTTACTAATGGTTTTGGCGATTACGTGTATGGTTTTAGTGATTACATGTGGGGACGTTTGTGTGTATTAGGAAGTACACTGGTTCTTTACAGACTTGTTGTTATGTCCCACTGGTCCATTTTGACAGGTAAAGTGTTACTCTATGTGAACATTATATTGCTCGTTTTGTTATTGCAGAGAGCTTGGAGTGCCGTGAAGAATAAGCTGTGGTTACCGGTAACGAGGTCCAAGTCAGATTTCGGGATCCTGAAAGTGCTAAATGTTGATGTTCTTCTTAGTGTCAATATTGTTGGCCAGTTTACAAACAACAATAATAATAAATCCTTCTGGTTTGTTACAATAATCGTTTGGAATTATTAGTGTGATATGTTAGAATCAGTGTGAAGCTTTTATTTCGTTCGATTAGTATTTTGCCTTCTTTTAAAGTTCTACTATTTCTCTTGATTACTTGATTTGATCAAGGAAGAAGAAAAAAAAAAGGGTTAACAAATTGAAGCTTTAGCTTGTTGATAGTTATATCTATTCACTTGTCCACTCCGTAGCTATTTATCTAATTCAAGTTCCAGAGTTTCCAAGAATCTTAACTATTCAATTTGTGTCAATTTCGCCAGTAAATTTCTTTCCGTTGTCTCAATTGCAATACCGAAATACCGACAGTCGAATTTGGGTTGCTATCGGGTTAAGGATTTCTGGTGAGACAACAACGTCTGTTTGATAGAGTATAGTAAACTGTATAGTACGTTTTATTGCTCTGTATAATACTCAGACTCAATACAAGCCAAGTATTCCCTCTTTCAAGTCACGCTTAAGAGCATAAAATCCAGATTACAACAAAGCCAAGATATAAAGTGACGCAAGTATCACTATATTGAAGATGCAATTTGCTGGATGTTCTGTGTCAGTTCGTGAAGTACTACATGAGGTAGTATATGTGTGAGTCATGAAGATGAGCTATGCTGGAGTTCGTGTTTCTTGATGAGCGTGGGCTTGCTGGGATTGGAAAAGGAAAGAAAATATGTGTTTGAAGACATATGGACGTTTTCCATAAAGCAAAAGGAAGTTTGCTTGAAGATGAAGTTTTCCATGAAAGATATGGAAAGTTGCATTGAGTGTATTTGGAAGAATTGAAGAGCAAGTTCAAGACGTGGAGAACAAGTTTTGTTCTTATATATTAAGGAAGCCGTGACTTATGAGAAAGTAGACCTCACAGAAAAGAAAGAGGGGTTTCATTGTATATTGGTGTGTGTTACTGCTTGGTGTCGAAGTAGTGTCTGAAGTAGTTTCTGATGGAGTCTGATGTGGACTTAGTTTGGTGACGTTAGAGTTGGCGCTTTGTGTGGTGGAGTTTCCATTGTGTGTAGCTCGTGGTGAGCTTTGTGTGTGCTTGGGTGATCAAGCATTTTGTGTCACTGTTGTGCGTTGGGTGCTGGCGTACTTGGTGAAGTACTTCCGAGATGTGGAAGATTGAAGCCTAGATTCAGGGGGAGTATAGCAAAGACGGTTTTATTGAAGAGGTCTGTGAAGATTGCAGCTGTAGAAGACAGTGTGCTCTGGCGCGCCTAGATGGTGTTGTATGCATGAGTGCTAATACCTAATCTTTGTAGATTGCTTCTTAGAAAAGAGTGGTAAACACTAGTGTGTGTGTGTTGTACCATATAGCAATTGTAGGTTGCTCCTTGTTCTAAGTTAATAAAATCTGGACTGGGTCCCGGGGATGTAGGAAACGAACCCCATTAACAAATTTGATGTGTCTTACTTTTTGCACTATGTTTTTCGTCGCCTCATCTACATCAACATATATATGATCAACTTTCTTCCTTATCACTTCTCCATATCAATTCCTTGATCAACTGATTTGTTATTCATATTATCTCTTATCTTCTTCCTGAAGCACACTCTCCAACTGTTATTATTACCCCTCTCGGTACGACCAAGCTTGTCCTCAAGCTTGAAAGTAGGGTATTCTCTCGCAATATCCTTCACTTGAAGCCATGAACTTTCATGGTCAGGTAAGTCCTTCCATTGAGCCAGAGCCTCAATGACTTGCTGCATCGTAACGAGTACTATGTATGTGTTTTGGCTTTAGGATAAACTCTTCATTCTGCTCCAACATCTTTGGTAAAGTAGTCACCTCGTGACTCTTCCCCAAAATACTACGTGGAAGGGGAATGGTAAAACAGAGCTAGCCTCAAATATAGAATAAAATAAATTATTTTTAAAAATATATAAAAATAAATTATGGTAAAAAAAGTTTCTTTTTAAATATATTGATAAATTTAGAGTTTATAGTTTCAAAAAAAACACCAAACAGAATTATTAATTTTTTAAATTACTTTTTATATCGCTAAATATATAATCAATACTTTTTAAACATCGTCTAGAAATAATTTTGAGAGAAGATGTGCTTTGAACTTTTTCTCTAGTTTAAGGGCTTGGCTAGTGTAATTGTAGCGGTTACGGACTAAGGATGCGGATGGTTGCAGTTTAAATGTTATTAAGAAATTTTTACAATTGATACAACAGTTAGAAATTGGTATGTATACGGGATACTTATAATTGGTTAACTATCAAATATATCAGTGGTTAATAATAAAATTAACAAAAGTTACTTTTTATATAATTATAAAAGTATTAAAAATCATATTACTATAATAAATACAAATTATACTACTAAATTTTTAATTAGAGAATATATTTTTGCTTTAAAGTTTTATAATATAAATTAACATATATCATATATTAGTATTCTATTATTTCATTTTAAAAATTGTAATTAACTATCTTTTTTATAATTATATACTTTTAAAAAATAAAAAAAATTGTTCTATCTTCCCGTTCACAATTGCAAGCTAGTTGGAACAACTTTTTGAGTGTTTTGAGTTTAAGTTTTGTTTCGACAAAATTATAACTTTATTATCTTAATAACAGTAAATCCGAATACAGAGTTGGTGTTAACCAAAAAGGTAAATTAAAATAATCAGAATAAAACAAGCCATTGGGAGGACCATGTTGTACTAGATGCGCAGCATTATTCCCATTCCGACTGATAAAACCATGTTGTACTTCTCCTAGCCTGGTGGACCAATAGTAATTATCATGAAGAAGACTAGAAATTGTAATACCATTTTGTGTGCCCGTGATAGTGTTGACGAGAACTTGTGAATCTCCTTCAAAAATAATATTTTTAAAACCTGCAGACCACAAATTTTGCATAGCCATTTTAAGTGCTTTGGCTTCCGCCTCCAAACTCGTTGCAGCTACACCAGCATCACCTGCTTCCCACTTGATAGTTGTCCCATAACTGTGTCTGACTATCCAACCGGAAGTAACTCGCCGTGTACTTAAGTTCAATGCTGCATCATAATTACATTTAAGTAAACCTTGAGCCAGCCGAACCCATTTCTCGGATACCCAAGACTGATTTGTAGTCCTCAAGAGATGTGAATCATCTGAGAAGCATGTTAACCATTCATTAACATCAGAAATAGCATTATCAACTGTTTAATGTAACGGTATTTTCTTTTTTTGGAATAACATAGTATTATGTGATTTCCAAATCCTCCATAGCAACCAAAAAGGTAGGTATTGATCGGATATGGAGAGAGAAGAAGATGGGCTTTGTATCTGCATAAGTAGTGTGATTTTACCCTCCAAATCTCCAGTGACTGTTAACATAGAATGGAAAGGTAATTTGGACAATCTCCAAATACTAATTGATTCATGACATATAAATAAACAGTGATCGATTGTTTCATCTGCCAAACCACAACGTTGGCATATGGGATCCATATTTACCCCTCGAATGCTTAGTCTTAAAGCGGTACTCACCGATTTTGTTAAAATTCGCCAAAGGAAGTGTTTTAGTTTAGGCATGATATTTAACTTCCAAATTTTAGATTTGAGTAGAGGATTCCCATAAGGTACTGCTGGGGCAGCTTGTTCGTACTCAAGATTTATTTAGAGCGGTTTGAAGCGATTTATTACAATAATTATTGTAAAACGCCAAAAATCGCTATCAACTGTAAAAGTTGTTTTTGCAGATGGTAGTGGGAAAACTAGTCATACCATAAATCACTACAGAACTAATTTAACATATACAACACGACAAAAAGGGAAAATGTGGATATCAAACATGCACGTCGCTCCTCATATCCCTCACGTGTTTATATAAAGTACTATACAATGATTTGTGAAACCACAACTTATAAACCCTTTGTCCAGTTACGTTTTTTACAATAATTTGGTTAGATATTTTTAATATTTATCTTTGGTCCATGGAGGGTTCGCCCAAAGGATTGAGAAAAGGTGCATGGACGGCTGAAGAAGACAGTCTCTTGAGGCGATGCATTGGTATATTTGGAGAAGGAAAATGGCATCAAGTTCCTTTAAGAGCTGGTATGTTACTTTTTTTCTTTTGCAGACACACAGACACTCACATACACGTATATATAATATACATTTTTTTTTTTGTCACAGACGTATATATAATATACATATAACTTAATCACAATGGAAAGTTCTTTCTCTCTATCTACTATTCGGGGAATTCTGTAACACATGGCTGCACAAGTAATTGTTTTTCTTTGTCTTTTTTTTTGTAACACTATTTTTCTTTTTGTCTTAATAAACAAATGATTGACTCGTGCTTTATAAGTTTGTTCATGAAAAAAGCATTCATGCTGTTCATAATTAGTTATGTCGAGCTAAACGTGGATCTGTATTTATTAAGACTACTTAACTTCCTTTGACAAAGCGAAGATCTGTATTTAAGACTACTTTACTTCATGTTATAAGGTTGTTCATGAAAAAAACATTCATGTTGTTCATAATTCGTTGTGTCGAACTTAAACGAAGATCTGTATTTAAGACTACTTTACTTCATGTTATAAGGTTGTTCATGAAAAGAACATTCATGTTGTTCATAATTAGTTATGTCGAACTTAGACGAAGATCTGAATTTAAGACTACTCTACTTCCGTTGACAAAGCGAAAATATGCCAACTCTTTTTTGCTTTGTCGTTTAGTACATGAACTTAGTGGAATTTTCTGTACGAACACGTGTCTTTGTGAGTAAATAATACATAATTTCTATTGGTGTTAATCTTCATGATAAAACTATTGGTTTTTGTAGGGCTTAATCGGTGTAGGAAGAGTTGTAGACTAAGATGGTTGAACTATTTGAAGCCAACAATCAAGAGAGGAAAACTTAGCTCTGATGAAGTTGATCTTCTTCTTCGCCTTCATAAGTTTTAGGAAACAGGTTTGTATTAGTAAGACACAAATTCAACTTTATTTCCTATCTAAATATCCAATACTAAGTCATTTAGGACCAAATCGTTAAAATGCATGCTTAGGTGGTCTTTAATTGCTGGTAGACTACCCGGTCGAACCGCTAATGATGTCAAGAATTACTGGAACACCCATTTGAGTAAGAAACACGAACAATCTTGTATGACCAAGATGATAAAGAGAAATATTCCATGCTCTTCTACGACACCCGCCCAAAAAATCAACGTTTTCAAACCTCGACCTCGATCCTTCACTGTTAACAACGGTGGTAACCATCTCCATGGCCTGCCAGAAGTAGACGTTGTTCCTCTATGCCTTGGACTCAACAACATTAATAATGTCTGTGAAAATAGTATGACATGTAACAAAGCTGATCAAGAGAAGTGTGACCTTGTAAGTAATTCAATGGCTGAAGAGAAAATGTGGTGGGAGAGTTTGCTAGAGGAGAGCCAAGAGCAAGAGGTGCTCGTTCCAGAAGCTGAGGCAACAGAAAAGGGGGCAACCTCCGCGTTTGACGTTGAGCAAGTTTGGAATATGTTGGATGGAAAGACTGTAGAACTTGATTAGTGTTTTACTGTCTGTTTGTGATTTGTGTGTTACTTTGCATTTGATTTAGTATTTGTTCCAGATAAACCAATTACTTTATGGTTCTGATTGTGCTTATATTTTGCAAAAGATAATTTGGTTTGTAAGAAGTATAGATTTCCTTTTTGGATTTTTTTTACACATTTGCAAAATAAAAAGATAATTTGGTTTGTAAAAACGATATTCTTTTGGAATATATTTGACCAGCTAACCTCCCTACAAAAATATTTGTCGTTTCTTTGAAAATCATATACCATTTCAATTTAGGAAATATTTTAGGGGAGAAGTGTCGAGCCCTACTGTTTTGGACCAGACACGTGACAAAGACTTTTCCTTTTACCAATGATATCATGTCCGCAAAAGTGCAGCTATGAAAACTGAAAGCTGTTTGACTGTTGTCGCCTAACTGATGTCATCTTCTGTTCACTTGTGATTTGGAGTAATTTTTCACGCAAGCAACTCCATTTTTAGTCCAACTTTTTTGGAAAAATGTGTACCGTACTTCGAACAGAATTGGTTGACGTTCTTAAAAATTCGAACCACAATTCTTTGATGGGAAAATTATGTTCACTTGTCTTTTTTTTTAATTATTATTATTATGTTCACTTGTTAATATGCAGTTTTTTGTGTCTGTCTCTATATGATTGATACTTAAAAAAAATCCTTGATAATTTACCATACCTAGCAAAGCAATACAAACTTTTCACAATCCCTAAAACAAGTTTTTAACTGCCCTTACTAAGTTCTTCAGTATCTGTTAAACATTATTTTCGAAGTAATTTGTCTCAAATATTATTTTTGAATTAATTTGTATATGTGTTATCATTACATTTATTTTAAGCAAAAAAATTATGACATAGCGTTTACAAAATATGTCATGCCATCAACTTAACTATGAAATGTACAATTTTTTATAAGGATTTCAATTCTATTTTTAAATATGGTAATGGCTAATTATACATAAATCACCATTACAGTACATTTTCTATAGAAATATTTATTTTTGAAATGTGGTAAAAATTAAAACTCATATATAATCAAAATTTAATGTTTTACCAAATAACAGTAAACATGCGAAATTTTTATATCTTTAGACTTTTGAAGTAGCTTTCATTCAAAAACTCCATTTTTAATCAACTTCTTTGGAAATTTATGTACCGTTTGAATGTAATTTCCAAATGTTGTTCAATATGCAAACCAAAACCTTCCAGTGGCGGATCTAGAAACCATATGTATCAGGGGGAGAAATAAAAAAAATACTAGATAAAATAAAATAAAAACATTGTCATAAAAACGTACAAATCCTTATAAATGTATCCAACGCTCTCTCATGGATTGAAATCTCACCAATGAATTATTTGTAACACACTCAAACAACTCTTTTTCAATATAACATATTAAACAATCACTTAGAAATCCGTCTCCAATTCGGTTGCGTGTGGCTGTCTTCACTAATTTCATTGCAGAAAGCACATTTCATCACTTGTAGTAGCAACATGCAACGTTAAAACCAACTTTAAGAGCCTAGAAAGTAAAGGATGTACAAGGTGCTTTTTTGTTTCCACCATCAGGCGAGAAAGATCTCCAAGATTCTTAAAATTTTGAAACCGTTCATCGTTTTTTATATTGTCAATGTAGATTCCAAGTTGGTGTTCCATAGATAGACACTTTCCAAAGCTAAAATCCTCTGGATAGAACTTAACCAATCTCAGCAGCTTTGACTTATCAAACTCACGAAAGGAATTGGCAGGATTTAAAGAAGCCATACAAATAAGCAAATAAGTGTTTACCTCAGTAAATCGATCATTAAGCTCTTGAAGCTGCAAATCCATAATAGTGTATAAACAATTAACAATTGTAATGATGCAGAATGGCTACACATGTTTTTTTCCTTGGCCTCCTTAAATCCACAAATTCTTCATCGATCACAAGCATATTAACATTATTCTTTTCGTAGAATAATGAAACTTTACCCATTAGAAAATCCCATCCATCTTCTTGAATTTTGCAACTCCCGTTTAGTTGAATTTACAAGTGACATGGCATTTGAAATATCTTGATTCTTCATTTGCAAAGCCATTGACAGATTCTCAGTTACTCTAAAAATAAACAGCATCAACTGTAAATAGAACACACAATCAAATGTGTGAAAATACTTAAGAAGACAATATGCTTGACATCTTTTTGAGTCATCAGCGCCTTCATCTTAAACAATTTCAAAGATTTCAATGACTGAAGAAAACAACTCAACCAGACACAACAAAGTTCTATAGTGAGAACCCGAAGGAGTATTTTCAGGCCTTAGAAGAGAAATCTCTTGATTTTGTCCCGTTCCAGTGTTAATGTCGCCACTTTCAATCCCTTCCTCCACCCTCTTCCGGTTCATATCAAGAAGCGTATATTTTCTCTTGCAAGAAGCCACAACCACATTCAGCAAAGTCGAAACCATGTCAAAAGAATTACTAACTTCAAAGCTCTTTTTCGCAACTGCCACCACAACTAGCTGAAGTTGATGAGCAAAACAATGTACATAATAGGCTGAATTATTTTCTCTAGCAACAAATGCTCTCAGCCCAGTAAACTGACCTTTCATATTGCTTGCTCCATCATAACCTTGTCCTCTCAACTGTTTCAGCCTCAACCCAGGTTTTACAAACAAGTCATCAACTGCAGATTTCAGACATAAAAAAGACGTTTCTTTTACATGAGTAACTCCCACAAATATTTATTTTACTAATCCACTTTTATCAACAAACCGGAAGACAACAGCCATTTGCTCTTTGTTAGAAACATATGCAGGCTCATCAACCATCAAACCGAACACTCCATGAACGATTTATTCCATGATAGATTTCAGCAAAATAATGTACAATATCTTTATGAATCACTTGAGAAACCTTCTGGTTATTTTTTGGAGCGTTCTCCAAAATAACCTTACTTACAGCGTCATCTTGGTCTCCGGTATTCTTCAAGAGCTCTACAAAGTTTCCTTTATTAGCAGAATCTTTGCCTTCATCATGACCGTGAAAAGGTAATATTCCTTGTTTTAACAAATACCTAGAAACATCAACTGAAGCATTTAGCCGGATGCGAAATTCATTTTTCACCACATCGTCTTGCTTATAAAAAGCATGTACAAGTGACTGACCCTGATTCATCAAATCATCACATCTCTTAACAACAATATTATGAAAGCTATAAATTCCACCTACATGCTCAGATAAAGCCTCGGATTTTTTTCCAACAAGAAAAACCTTCAGTAACAAAAGCATAATTTCCACCTTGTTTTGGTATGTTCTCTGAACAAATAGCAACACAAACAGAATGCTTTATTTTTGGAGATGTTGTACTCTAGCCAATTACCATACTTCTCAAACCAAGCTGGATTAAACCGCCTCATTGTTGTCCCAAAATTTTTCTTTTCAAAAACAGGACCATAGAGTTGACATGGACCTCTAGTTAAATATTTCTGCCTTACCTCGTCTCTTTGATTCGGAAGATACTGCGATATTTTTTTTCTTTCAGCTGGATCCCATGGCAAAGCATCTAAATCATCAGAGTTATCCAATTTATCCAAATTTCTTTTAGAATCAAAGGCACTTATTTTGTTATAATATTGCTACATTTATCTGCAAATCAGTAGAAATAATAATAAATTAATATAAAGCCAACTCCATTAAACCTTTTAAAATGTTACTAAACTAAGCACAATTAATTATATTAACTAATAAATTTTCACGTTATGCTCAACACCAAACATAATAATATTGGCTGCGTTCAAAATTATTCTACATTAATATCACAAGTCACAACCTTAAAGCATATCATCGAAAGTTTTAGAACAGAAAGCAATGGATGTTGGAGAATCAATGGATGTTGGAGCTTAGGCCCCACAGCCTCGTGATTCCTGATCTACCACAATGGCAGAGAAGGAGGCCGATTTGGAGAGAAGAACCGAGGTCACCAGCTCAAAACTCTTCCAAACTATCAACCTCAACCATAGTTATGTTTTTATTTGTGTTTTAAGAATATTTCTGTTTTGTAATATATTTTAATAAATTAACATTGAAATTTGAAATTTATGTTTCAGTTTTTAATTTATTAAATTAACTTAAACCTGTTACAAAATTAGTCTTTTTTTTAGAATAAGTAATGATGTAACTCTGTTGTTGTTTTACAAAAAAAATCACAAGGCATTAATCGTTGATTCATTGTAAGTATAATGACAAAGTACCAACATCTCAGGTTGTACATTCTCGTTAAGTTTACGACGAATTAAATATATTTTTGTTGTAAATTTGCTGTAAACTTAACGAAAAAGATACAGCATCAAATATTGTAATTTTTCTTTGTATTTACATTTACCTAACAACTTCTTT